TTATTAAATAATGACCGAGAAAGGTTGGCAAGAGGTTGATCCCTCATTCATCCCTACCCTTAGCCTTAAAGGGTGTATGATATCTTGAAGGCAGGTCTGTGCCCCACTATGCGTCTGTGTATAAGTTTTGAAAAATAAAATATTATCTATCAAAATTTAACGTATAAGAATTTAATCAATTTTTTTGGCCAACTATAAGAATTTTAAAAATATACTTTGAAGTTTAGACTATAAACAAAATATCTTCTAAAATTTGAAATAAAATTATTAAATTCTAATTAATATTTTTATTTTGATTTTATAAAACATAAATGAATTAACCTAATTATAAATCGATTTGAACTTTTAAAATATGCTATTTATATTTCTAAATAATTTAATCACTTGTAAATACCCGAGGACAGTTGATCGAATTTTTTTTTAAAAAAAAAAAAAACACGCACACACATACAAGTATTTAAAAATGATCTTCTTTTTCCCCAACCAGACACAACTTCAACTTGTGGCTGGTATTTTTTCATAATTTTTAAAATAAAAATGATTGTAATAATTAACACTAAGGAAGACCCTTGGCATGAGTTGGGTCTAACAAGCAAAGTTTCGATGATTCATCAAGTCAAGTCAAATAATATGCAATCTACTCAGACTACATTTCGCATTTTTCATTTTTATTATTTTTTCAAATTTAATAATTGTTACCCCTTTCATTTAAAAATATAAAATATTTTTTAAAAGTTAAATATTAAAAAATATAAGACATTTTTAATTTTTAAGATATAATCATTACTTTTTTTAAAAAAGTACCCTTATTGATATGACTTTATATTTATTATATGGTATTTAATAGAGATAAATATGAAAAGATAAGGTTAGTTTGAAAGTAAGTAGTTACTTTTTTTTTATAAAGGAGGTAATGACTTTATTAGGTGGTAAGATTCTATTAAAAATATTTTATATTTTTAAACGAAGGAAATAAATATTAAAATTCTTTTCATTTTTTAGATGTTAGAAATTTTTTCCATCAAACTCTAAACACAGAAAATCACCTAATAACCTACTTCCTCTTCTCCTATTTATAAATTATTTTTAACATATTTTATTAGAAATGAAAAAAAATCAAAACTCATAAACTCTATAAGTTTTATTAACATGTTTTTCCTTACTAATATTTAATGGGTAAAAATAATATTTATGATAAAAATTTAATGACATAATTAATAAATAAGATAAAAAATTATTCTCTCTCTTATAAGATTGAAATTTGAAGGGAGTATATTTTAAGGTCTAATTTTTTGCTAATGAAAAATACCACCACCAGATTGCATGAAGACCTGTCATATTACGTTTTGCTTTTTTTTTTTTTTTTCATGCCTTCATTTTGAAGAAATTATGACGTAGAAATGTTTGACTTCATAATTTTAAAAATCCTCTAACATGACTTGATATCATAAAATGATAATATACATACTCCTTCTATTTATAAATATAAAATATTTTTAATTAAATTTTTTTTTTTAATTAAATACTTTTAAACTAACTCTATCTTTTTATATTTATTCCTATTAAACATCTTATAATAAATATAAATTTATTATTAATAAGGATATTTTAAAAAAAGATAATGATTACACCTTAAAAGACTAAAAATACCTTATATTTTTTAACATTTAAATTTTTGAAAAATATTTTATATTTTTAAACAGAAAAAATATATATTATTTTTATTTTATTTTACCTTAAAATATTATATTCAGTGAAAAAATATTGTATAGGTATTAATTTAAAACTTGTTTCTTTAATAATAGGGAAGCAACGAGGCTTAGCGTTGAAGGTAAATAAAGAGCAAGTGGAAGGTGAGGTGGCGAAAAAGCGCATGGAGACTGGAGAGTATGGTGGGGACCACATGGGCAAATAGTATGATACCTAATTAGAAAGGTCAGTAAGATATAATAAATTATTCACATCGCTTTGAAATTTTAATTAATTTTGAATTTATAATGACTTGAGTCATAAAAGCTCAGAATTAAGATACGTCCCACGCCAAAGAATGCTGACTGAATTTGAACTCATAATATTTAAAATTATTTTGAGCTAACTCATTATTAATTAATGAGACTAATTTTTGCTAACCATTTTTTTAGGCCATAGTTTATTTGGTACTCTGTATTTATAAGTTTATTTGGTACTCTGTATTTATAAGATTTTACCTAAAGATATTTATTATATAGCCATCTACAAATTTCAATTGAACATTTATAACTCATTTGAATAATTTCGTAATTTCTTTCACTCCGAATTAATGGACTTTTCAAAAAAAAAAAGAAGGAATTAATGGCTTTTCCATTTACCAATCAAAGGATAATTTTAAAAGGTTACAAAAAGTACATGAAATTTAAATAATTTTTTTTTTGAAGTTGCAGTTAACATGACTTTATAAAAAGGATCAGAAATATATTGTGTAGAAAAATGTACTAAAGTATACCCTGTTGTTTTATTACATTCGTATTTTTAGAGGAAAAAAAATTATTTCAAGTTATAAATATTTTTAGAATTCTAAAGTAATACTATCTAACAACAATTCTCTTGTTTTACTTTTTGGAGTACAGTAATTTACAATTTATTGTTAAAATATTTTTAGAGACATTAAATGAGTGGAAAATTTGGTAAAATGTTTCATATTTTTATAACATTTTTTAATCTGTGTAATATTTTTAAAAAAGAAATATAATGAGAGGTGGGAAATAATAAATAAATGCAAATGGAATTTATGACAACAGCCTCCTATTGTCCTGTCCCGAGTAAGATATTTCTTCATTTTTCTCTCCACTAAAAATACCTCAAAAATATTCGCCTTTCTTTCCAAGGAATAGCCTAGGGCAACACACTCTCCACAAAAATACTATCCGCAAATAATAACATTTTTGTATTAAAATTGCTTCATAAAGTATTATCAAATACCCGTATAATACTGTAATAAAAACTGCAATTTTCAATATCATTTTATATTTTTTTACCAAAAACAAATGAAACTGATATGGCCAAATCAACCCCACCTAAGTCAAAAACACATTATACAAGAGAATTGACTTGTGAAATTAGGCAGGGATCAAGCACTACAACTCTTCAAGGGCACTTAGTCCAGTTAAAATTAATATATAAATATATATCTTAATTATCTTTATTTTTTTATAATCTCTATTTACAATATAATTAATGAGAACATTTTTTAAAAAAGAAGAATCTAATGTTATTGATCTTTCACAAAGTATTCTATATTTTAGACTATGCTAGTTGATAAAAATTATCTTATATTTTGGATCGAAAGGAGTAGGCCAATAGAAACCATATCTAACTTACAATAAATTTTCTGTGTTTTTATATTAATATGTTCTATTGAAAGTTTTAAAAATATACTTCCTCCATTTTCAAATATAAGAAAAACTACCTTATCTTTTATTATAAGTAAAATTATAAATTTCAAGAAGCATTAATTAAATTTTTCCAAATTGTCCCTCATAAATGGGAGAAATATTTAGGTAGACCAGATGTATCACATCATTTGTGATCTGTTCAATAAAAACATAACATTTAAATGACATTAAATATAAATTGATTCTGATATTAGTGATAGCAAAGAGAGAAGACAAGAAATTAAATATGCATTTTATTAAAAAATAAAATTAATTAAAAAATCACACAAGATTTTATTTATATTACTTAAAATATTTTAATTGAACAGACTACAAATGATGTGGTGTAATTGATTTACCTAAGTATTTCTCCATAAATGGATAGCACTAGTATATCATTAAATTAGAGAAAAAAAATCTCCTCTAATTTTTTTTGTAAGTTACTTCTAACTAATTCACCAAAACTAATATTAGTTAAAATAATAAATTATCTTTAAAAATAAATAACTTCTTATTTTGTCCCTAAGTTTAAGAAAAGGATAATTTGATATGTGGAAAGAGTTTTCTTAAGAGTTTAAATATTGCACTTCTTTTTAAAAATTTTTAAAGGGTAAAAAACAAAATAAGGGGAAATGACTTATATAAAAGATCAATAAAATTTTTTAGAATGTGGCTAATTAAAAAGACTAAAGGGAATAAGTATTTATTATAAATATATTTTAGTTTAACTATTTTAATTTTAAACATAATTATTGAAATTAATTAATTTTTTAAATTGTAAGAGTTGGTTGAAATTCTCTAATATTTAAAAAAAAAGGAAGGAATACATGCAATAGCACTAACATAAAATGATTACTGAAGTACAAATTCACACAAAATAATTGAACTAATAATTATCCCTGTTAATTAGTAAATTCCATCCACACACTTAATGAAGTGTGTTCTCGAAGCTTTAGTCACTATTATTGCAAATGGTACTTCAATTATTCTCTCACAAAAATGGAGTGTTTGATATGATGCTCTTATGTGATGAGAGAGATAAAAGGAATAATTATTTCAAATATCAAAATTAAAAAGATTCCCAACTTTGTCCGTGACGTGGTTAAATATAGCAATAAATATATTTATGCTCCTCTTGAAGCATTAACCTTATCATTTTTCCTATAAAAATGAAAAAGAATGAATGAATACTGTGGCATGATTGAAGCAAGCATGCTCAAAATCACGCGCATAATGGCGCGTGAGATAAATATATAAACAAATACAAGAATAGGTCAAACAAAAATATCTAATTTTTTTGAGTAAAATCTTGAGAATTATCTGCCCGGCTCTCATATGTTCCACAAACAACGCAGCCTTATTTTTCGCTAATTTTACGAAAGTCGAAAAGAGACATTAACACCAGACAGAACAAGCATGCGCCACGTGTCGCGAGCCCCGGTGCATTCTCAGCCACAAGAGTCTCACGCCTTCTGGAATCCTCCAGGGGAATTTTGAAAAAAAATTCGAAAATATTTACGACATCTGACGTGGCGCCCTCTCCTTTCTAATTTTTATTTTCTCAATTTATTTTATTTATATCTCCATCCTCCCCTTGGCTTTTCCTCCTCCCCCCCCGTCTCTCTGCTCCTGCCTTCCTCCATTTTCCGTTAGATTCATTGCTCTTAAAATCTCTCCCTCTCTCTTCTGATTCTGCTTAGTTTATCTTGGAAACGGGAATTTATTTTCCCGGAAAAGTCATATCGTGGTCGTGGAATCTGTTTTCTCAGGCAAAATCTGAGGTAGCTATTATTCTTAATTTACTCCCTCTCTTTCCGACTGTAGACTTTTTCAGTTTCGGCCATTGAGAATTTAGTTGATCTGATTTCGCAATCATACTTGAAGCTGTTTTCATTTCACAAAGCTGTTTATACACTTCCAACGAAAACAGATAAATTGTTGTTAGCAATGCTTGACTTAGGCTACGGGGGTCGCTCTCTATAAAGATTGGGCTCTTTCTCCGGCAGGACTGACTCTGGTTGGCTTCAATGGAGATGCAGGTATAGAAGCAAACAGTTCAAAGGGGCTCAGTGTTTTGTTTTGTTTTGTTTTTTGGGGTTTTGTTTTGGTTCCTTTTGGCATTTCCTGGGTAGTTGTATGCTTAGAAATATGGAGCTAAGACAAGTTCAAATGTTCGTCGCATTGAAGCAAACTGATTCACTAGTTTACCTGAAACTACGTTAGCTGCCATGCAATGGATAGACTTCTTTGCTTTCTTCTGATTGTTGAGACTCGAGAGAACAATTCAGTCGTCTGAAATTTTAATATTTTGTACCGTTGTAAGCTGTTACTGTTAAGTGGGAAGAGTAAGCATTTCAAACCATATCACATCTGTAATATTGAAAGGGCTTCTTCTTTTTTACTCCTGCTCCAAATGAAATTCGTAGGCAAGGTTTTGATAACCTAAGATACAAGGAAGGAAGATACAATATAAGTCTTTTCCTGCATAAATTGACGATCCAATATCAGAGTAATACTTGACTGGGTGTTGTCTTAAATATAAGTGGAGACTTGGCTTGGTATTGAGTATAAATGTACTGGTTGCCATGTCTATTCTTGAAGCGATGGCAATCGATCTCTCATATGCTGCTGTAACAAGCTCCGATCCAGTAACTTTATTGTATCTTAAAAGAAGAAATAAATGCCCCTTAGGAGCTGAGTTGAAATCTAGGAAGCATCTTTAATGGGGAACTTATTTCCAAACCCTCTCTTTAATTCACTTTGTTTGGAGACATCTTTTAACTCATTTTATTATTTGGTGCGTAGAATCAAAAAGAGAGCACAAAGTCAAACAACTGTGGCATGGCCAGTAGCTGCCTTCCAGACGGCAGCACAAAATCTGAAACTGTTATCTGTAAGAAGGATGTGACTATAACTACTACAGGAGACAATTTTACTCCCAAGGTCGTTTTACCTTTCCTATTGGAACATGATTTCCCCCTTACAGAAACAATATGGCTAAAGAATTCATGTTCATTTTGTTCAAATCCTACTTTTTATAACAGGCAAGGAAACCATATACCATTACCAAGCAAAGGGAAAAGTGGACCGAGGAAGAGCATCAGAAGTTCCTTGAAGCTTTGAAACTGTATGGCCGTGGTTGGCGTCAAATTGAAGGTAAGCTCATTCTGCTGCTTTAGTGATCTCATCTAAATCATGAGTTGTACGCATTGTCAAGTAAGATGAAGTTGTTTGTATCTTCATGCAGAACATGTAGGTACCAAAACTGCAGTTCAAATTCGAAGCCATGCACAGAAGTTCTTCTCTAAGGTTGATTTTTTATAATTTCATAGATGTCCTTGAGGGGGATATGTATATTAATATAAAATAATGATAGTAATAAGTAAAATAAAACAATTGGTTTTGATTGATCTTTAGGTCTATTTGTTGTGGAGAAGCCAAGATTTTGATTAATATACAACTTAATGGCAGTAGAAAAGTTACTGTCGTACTGATGCTTTATTCTCCTAATATTTCTCAAGCATCTTATTCTCTAAGTTGTTTCAGGTTGTGCGGGAATCTGATGGTAGCACTGAAAGTTCTGTAAAGCCAATTGACATACCTCCTCCTCGGCCAAAAAGGAAACCATTGCATCCATATCCACGCAAATCTGCTGACTCGTTCAAAGGACATTCAAATGAGTCAGAAAGATCTCCATCGCCAAACATGTCAGCTGCAGTGAAAGACACCCAATCTCCAACTTCAGTGTTATCTGCATTTGGTTCAGAAGCATTCGGATCAGCATTCTCTGAACAGACGAATAGATGTCCTTCCCCTAATTCTTGCACTACTGACATCCACTCGATCCACTTATCTCCAGTCGGAAAGGAAAATGATTGTATTACGTCCATTTCGTCTGAGGAACAGACGGGATATTTAGCTTCTGTCCCTTCAATTGCTGATTTGAAGAAAGATCTCTCCCTGGTATGATAAGCTTTATGTTATCCTATTCTACATAGCTTATGTCATGGAATGAAAGTTTACGAAATTCTATTCACTGACTTGAAATTCCACTGTCATTTCAGAAGGTTGAGTTGACTTCAGAGAAAAACGAGAATTCTACTGAAGATGATACCAAAATGCCACAGGTCACAAGCATTAAACTTTTTGGAAGAACTGTCTCCTTGACAAATAATCAGACGTCAGTGAATATAGATGAGGACAGAATTCAGTCAGTTATATGTAAGGAAAACACTTGCTCTGTTGAGTCAGGATTTGATGATTCTTTACCAAGCTGGAACTTACACCAAAGTCTTCCAGACTTCGACCTTGGGCTGCGAAACAAAATTTTTAATCTTGCACCTCATCATACCTCCCTCAAAGAGAGAGTGATTGAGAAGGAAAGTCATTGTATAGATTATAACACTGAATCAGTTAGTGAAATGGAAAATGGAGACAAGTTGGATGCTTTTGATTCTCAATGTCAATCATCCCACCATCAGGGAAGAACCTCCTCCAAATCTCCACGAGGGTTCATGCCATATAAAAGATGTTTAGCTGAGAGAGATGTGAATGCGTTTGTTGATGGATTGGAAAAGAGGAAGGCGCAACGAACTCGAGTGTGCTCATAGCATTGCTTTTCATTTCTCAGATTAAGAACGAATACTGACTCTTGTGGATACACTGGGTAGGGAGGTCACTTCGTAGATAGCCATTGTGGTGTTAGAAAAATACGTTGTTGCGAGGCTTATTTAAGTTGTCGGTCCAGGGAGCTGACATGCACCTGATTACCAATTCCTTTACCCCAAATCGCCAATCACATTACTCGAGCATTTTTCAACCTTCAAGAAAGCACGGTTAAGTCCAATAATTGAGAGGGAAAGTCTTAATGTTTTTCATTCCCTTGTGATGGTAGTTTGACCTATAGGAGCCCAGGATCCTGGTCTACAAGAAAGCGGTTGATCTATTGGTATATTTAGTTTTGGCATGATCATGTCATTGTAGCAGGATGATTGGATCTGAAATGAAGTGCTAAAAACGAAATGGGGACGAGGAACATCAACCTAGTTCGCAAATATCAGCTATTTGTTCTTTTGACTCATCCATTTCGAAGGACCATGTGTTTGAGAATCTACCGAGCAGTTTGTATATCAGGATTTTCTTCTGTATCCTCATTTTTTGACCGCATATATAACATTGCCCCTTCGTTCATTATTCTCGTGTTTGAACCCTCTCTCTTCTGAGGTGTTTTGTCCATCCTTTTCCAACATCAATGAGTTTCAAATTATAAATGTTCCAAAATTCAATAGAATAATTGTTACCATCCCTAACAACTTATATGATAACTGCTGCAAGAAAGCCACAGCATTAATCAACCTTCTCACTGTATTTGATAAATTCATTCTCTCTCCTGACTTGAAACCAGAATAATAAGGCTTAAAAGAATTCAGCAAAATAAAAAAATCTGTATGTGTATGCTCATGAGAAATAGTGGCTACAACTCTGTATTAGAGACTCTTTCATCATGCAGGGCTCGATATGATATAGGAGAGCTTAAAGTAACTTCATTGTTAACATATTAAACAGGATGGGAGAGTTATTTATACCGGCGAGATTGAACTACTTGAAGCAGAACCAAAAGGACATTGTCCTCAAATAAAGTGTTCCTAGATTGGAGAGAGAGAAGTTAAATTTATCAAAAAGAAAATAAATAACGCTTGTTGGTTCACTAAGAGCTTGAAATTTTTCAGAAAGTTGGAGGCTCAACTTCCTTAGTGAAGAGAAGTAGCTTAAGCAAGTTATACTTCTTCCCTGGCACTACAAGATTTTTCCAAACTTACTCTTAACCTAATCTATTAATTCCTTTTGGCCCAGAAAAAAAAAATCCTAATTCCTTTATAAAATTACCAAAAAAAAAGGCATTTACTATTTAAAGTTTAAAAGATCATATCTTTAATTAGAAAATAACTTGACCTTCCTAATAAATGGAAAGTTAGACCAACTCCCTGATATTTTCCTAGAAAGCACAATAAATAGAAACAGGCAATACCTAAATCACCAGGCAAGCATCAGGTCTAAGAACATAAATGTTAGCTGCGCTGGTAGCTGAAAGCAGTTAATATTTTTCAGTACCAAAGTTTCATCAAGCAGGCATCTCTCATATATTACCGTCAAGTAAAAGGTAGGACCGTAGGAGGAATTAGCCCAGGGTTAATTATGTGTCTCTGCTCTGCAGCATATAACACAATAAGACGTAAACATGAATTCATTGAATTGTGCATATTTCTCTTGATGCTAATTCCTATCTAGGTTTTTGGTTAAGCCTTTGGCGCAACTCTGATCTTGGTTTTGCGACTTCCACAAATATGACCCTACCATCCAAGAACTGCAACATCAACCCTTTGTTGTCAGTATCTTACATAGCTTCAATGTAATTTAATTTTCATTAAATGGAATGATTATTAATAAATCAAAGAAAGAGGGAAAAAATCCTTTTTAATATCAAGGCGAATCTGGTTAGTGAATAAGATCCTTAATATCTAAAATTGATCTTTTAACAATGGATAGTAGAGAAATCAGTACAACGGCCTAAAAATTCATCCAGAACTCCAAGTTTATTGAAGAAACGTATCCTTAAGACATAGCAAAACCCATTCACCTTTAGGAATAACTGTGCAATACTTTTCACTTGATAGCGAAGAAAAATTATTTTATGATTAGTTTATAATGTAAACATAATCATTGTTGTATTTTTTTTTTTTGGCACAAAATCATTATTGTATTTTGACTAGCTTAAAAGTTCCATCAGTGTTAGGCCCGAAAAAAAGTACAAGTTCAACATCGTAGACTAGCAACATATGTAACTGATGTTCCACATACAAACATGCCAGGATAAGAAAAAGGAAATAGCATACCTTCCCATGCATTCCATCAATAGCCTTCTGAGAATCCTCTTCAGTTGCATAACGAAGAAAGGCAAATCCTCTTGGTCTATTTGCTATTTTATCCATCACGAGGTTGACTGCTCATATAGTTGAGTGAACGCTTTAATAAGAGAAATGATTTACACAAACTGATTTGTAAAATAATTTCTTTTGCCAAAGGAGGAATTAAGGACTAGCAAATGAATGAGATGACAAATTATGAACACTTAGGTATGATCATATTACATATCAGACAAAGAGGAACATGACAAAATAAAAGTTCTTACCTTCCACAAGTTCACCAAATTTCTTAAAGGCATTTCGCAAGCTCTCTTCAGTTGTGCGAAAAGATAGCCCTGCAAGGAACAGGAAATTCTAGTATGAGGTGAAACATGAATAGAATACCTGCAAAATTTTATAAATTCATGCAATAAAATGTAAAATAAAATTCTAACTATGTTGCAAGCATTTCCACCTAAAGTTATGGGAATGCATGCAATCTGTTGCCAAGATGCCCAATGTCCCAATGGAGAAGAGATTAACCAAGACATATGAACCGACACCAAGTTCATTACAAATGAAAAGCTCATGACATTGTCAGTAAAAGGACCCAACGTACACCCTTTTTCTCTCATGAAATTGTTTTGCTAAGTGAAATGAGGTTCTTGATTATGAAAGTTAAGATTTATAAAGAGCAAAAAGAATGAGTGGAAAGAAAAGTAGGATTTACAATACATTTCAGAGGTTAAGGCACAAAAGGGATATACATTTTGATAAGGGGGTCATATAAGTTGACGCCAAAGTTTGTTTCTTGGCTCTGGGAAGATTTGTGAGCTCAGTTGCTTTTCCTCTCTTGGCTCCCACCAAGAAAATAACACAGGCATTGCTACCACTCTGAGCCTAAGAATTTAACCTCTTTTTGAGTTCCGTATGTTAAAAATAATTGAACCGTATGACTGCGACAGTTCAAAGCCCAGGTAACAGGTAACTTTTTGGCATCTCATATCTCTTAATGCAGTCCTTATTTTGCACCTAATAAGGCTTAAACTGATCAAACTTTCTGGATTTGAACCTAAAAGGCAAAACCTTTTCAATTCTGCAGATAAAGACCATGACGCCTACCCTTGCCTCTGGTTTAAGCTACCAAAGAAAATTCCGTAGGCTTCCACTGTTACAAGCTACTATCACTTGCAACAATTCCAAGAACAAGAATCCCAGGCAGTGAAGCCATACATAACAATCAATTTCTAGATTTTCCAGTAACCTATTTGAGTCAATAAAGTATTGTTAATAATCATCATATATACCACCCAAAGGAGGGAGCGACGCAGAAAATTAAAACAGGAGGAAGTTGAAATTATAAGAAGAGGAGAAGAAGCTAACCACTGACGTAGAGCTTAGTTGAAAGATAAGAAGTGGGTTTGGTATCGGAAGATGAAATTGGAGATTGAGAAGCAGGAGGATGAGGCAGACACGCCAACACGAAGGAGAAGCCATTTCTGAGTGATGATGAGGAAGGGAAATTTCTCTTGCTTCGAATGTTAACCACACAAATTGTGTTTCTCAGAATCTTGTTGCTGAAAGAAACGGGCAACGAAGTTACTAGAGTAGTCGCTGCAACAGTGGCTGCCATTTCTTCTCTGAGAACTGAGCTTTAGGAACCCAACCGGCGAAGCCTTCCCAAAGTTCGGATTTCGAGGATGGTCTGTTTTAAACTTCGGGGAATGACACTTTGAGACCATTATATGAATTTAATTTCATTTTAGGACCAAACAATTTCAAAATTCCAATAGTAGCCCTTGAATCCTTACTATTCATATATAATTGCATAATTATTAACTAATTAATCTTTCTCCCAGAATGTTCCAAGTGAAATTTTAGAAGATTAGTTGCAAAATTGTGAAAGGTGAGTGTCAAGTTTTTGCAACAATTCTTTCCAATCTTTTATGTTAAAAGTAGGAACATCAATTGCAACTTTGTATGTATCAATGTCAAATTTTCCTTTTAAAAACTCAATGTGAGATTTTACAACCATGTGTATCAAATAAAGATTTTTCCCCCAATTTTTATGCTAAAAGTGGAAACGCTAGGTACAAATTTTTCAAAAGGACAATAGTAATCAAAGACTACAGAAAAAAATTTATATCAATTAAGAATCACTTATTATTAAAACTTTAATGGATAATTTTATAATAATTTATTTTAAATTAATAGTAATTTATTTGAGTTCGTTTTTCATTTGAGTTTTTGATAATAATAAATTCTTAATTGATATAAATTTTTTTAATTGTTATTCTCCCTTTTTCAAATATCTGTGTCGACCTTGGAAAACTCAATATGAAATTGGGGTAGTGCTTGCTTCCACAATTTACTACTACGTATATAATAATTTGTAATTAATGTTCCAGAATTTAACATAGAACATTTTAAGAGTAAGGTTAATTACATAATTTTAAATAGTAATTCTTAAAGAGGAAAGGTTTTTTAGGAAAGTTTTTTATCCCAATCTAAAATTAAGTCCTTGTGTTGGTTCCCAAGAATTTTAGGTTGGTTTTGATGAATAATATTCTATGAAATCCTGATACTTTAAATTATCTCAAGTATCATATTGATAGTGTATATCAATACTTTTTTAATATGTATTAGTAGAGATTCAAAATATTTTTTAATTTTAAAAAAATTATTTTTGATATGTATCTGATAATTTTATATTACTAGTTTATACTTTAAAACCAATAATTCAAAATTATTTTTAAGAAATTAAATTTTATTAAAAATTGTGATATTATTTTTTTTATTCCTAATATATTTTTGTGATTTGCTTTCAGGGTTAAAGGTTAAATTTTTCATTAAAAATAAGTTTTAGATATAATAAAAAGATAGACATTATACTTTCTTAATTATATAAGGTAGGAATATAATCTTTTGGCATATATACTCTAAGTAGAAACTATTAACAGAGACTAAATAGTAGACAATTAGATATAATAGAATAAAAATATAATTAATGAATAAAGAACAATAGAAATTTACTAATTTGAATACTTTTTAAATTGAAATTAGATTTTTAATTTTTTATAAATATATATGTGTGTGTACGCGCGCGCACTATGTATCATATCTTATATTTTTTTTTAAAATAAAGGTATTGACGTATGGAATATACATCTGTGCATCATAGAACATCAATTACACACCTAAACTTGTTGCTTAATGCCGATACTTGTTAGCGCATGAGCCATAAAGTTTTCACAACTTTTCTGTAAATATAAAGATAATATAACTGTTAGTGTTAAATAATTTCACTTCAAAGTGTTTTCGGGTAAATTTACTTTTTGTTCTTGAGGTTAACTAGATTGGTGTCCTTAAAAAAAAAAAAACAAAAAAGAAACAGCTTTTGACTTCACATAAAATGTTGTAGTTAATGATGTGACCTTTTTTTATTGAATGATTACTGTATTTAAATTTGTCATGGGGCTTTTGTTTTTTTTTTTTAGATTTTACAATTACTATATTTGAAGTTGAATTAGCTGTTTGAGTTATCAAATGACAACGGGAATTACATTTAACAAAAAGGGTTAATTTATTGTAAAGTGACAAAATTTAAATTCTTGTTAAAAAAGGTGATTATATTTTGTGCCTTCTCATGTGTCAAAACCTAATTTTTAACACTTTTCCTATGCAATTAAAAGTTATATAGTTAAAGCAAAATGAAAATTAAAGCCCATAAATTAAAATTCATAAATTAGTCATTGAGCTACTGCTCCATTTGGTAAGTTTAGAATTTTTGCTAAATTTTAAAAATTAATAACTAAATCTATAAAATTTGTATGAGAATGATCTAAAATTTTCTTGAAAGAAATTGAAGTACTTTATATGGTGAAAATAAAGTTTAAACCCTTTTTTATTTCAAATATTATAGATTACTTGTTTTTTCAAATCTACTCTGTTTCTTTGACAAAATCTGTGCCATAACTTAAAAAATTCATAATTCAAGTTGTACATGTCCAAATAATTTGATTTAGTTGAAAATCTTCAGGTGTCTAGTTTGGTCATAAAAATTCTCATGAGTATAAGTTATACAATAAAACAATAACCTTTCTTTGAAAATAGCCTAAACTAGATAGTTACAATCATGCATATTAAAATCATGATTTCAAGGCTAATTTAGGATTTGAAATTGGCCATCATATAACACCACATATCACTTATACATACTAAGGTCTCATCATAAATTTACATAACTTATGGACTAATTTATACATTTCTTGTTCTATAAAAGTAATGCCATAAGAAAATCATCTCCTACTTTACTTACCTTTGCTTCTTGATTTGGCTCTTTTTTTGGAGGCTTATAACCTAACATGGTTAATCATTAAGGATGAGATTCAAGAGAACCTCAATAGTAAACAATATCATTTAACCTCAAAAGATTCATGATTCATATAATCAAGGAAACAAATCATACATATCATCATGCAAGCATAAATACCAGGCATGTAATGAAGGGTAAGTTTATTACCTTTTGGCTTTACTATTCTTCTTTGTTTTTCATGCTTCCATTTGATCCCCCATGACCAAGCCTCCAATTCCTTTTTCATGACACTCATTGACCCTAAATATTTGTCATAGAATATTTATAACAATTGTTAGAGCCAACAATCATATTGTCAATAAATGACAACTTACTCTTTATTTAATTAGATCATATTTTCATTATTTTAATTTTTCATTTTATTTTTCCTTTGACATAAAATTCTTATACCGTTATTTTCCCACTCAATTTTTCATGAAGAATTCATTTTTGAACTCAAGTTTAACAAATTCAACCTCTTTCCTCTTGAACCATCCTTGATAGTAGGCACTTGAGACCCTATATTGTGCTTGCTTTCAAGCTTTTTCATGCTTCATATTTTTCATGGCTTGAGACTAGGTTTCAAATCATATTTCATGAACTTAAATTTGATTAAATTCATTGCTTTACCGTGAAGAAATTGGACAGCACCCCCCCTTAAATTTAAGCTTTCAATTTTTTACTAAACTTGCTAAACACTTATTCTATCATGCCTAAACCCCTTTCAACATCATTTTCATGACCTTAATATCATCAAAATCCTAAGTCTCCTCATTACAAAATAGGGCAAGAGCACAACTTCATAAAAACTTAATAAATCCCAATATACTTAGCTCAAAATAAAGTTTGTGCTTACATCTTTCCTTCGCTATAACTTTTTCTTGGATTCTCCAACTTCCACAAGCCTTGACTACACCAAATTCCTCCTCTCAAGAATTTAAAACCATAGGACTGTTGTTCTTGAAGAGTAGAACAACTTTCATGGAGGTACTTTGAGGTAGAAATGTGGTTTTAATGGTAATTTTGCTTGATTTTCCTTTTCTCTCTCTAAACCTCTCATGCATTCACCATGGAAGAAGCTTAGAAATTCTCTCTCTTCTCTCTCCTTTGTCTGATCGAAAATGAGGAAGATAAAATGGTTATTATGGTGTTTGATTGGAAATGTTAATGGAATTGTAATATTTTCTCAAATCCACCAATCACAATTTTCACTTACCACTTTCCATTCCTTAATTCCAAAATATTGTTAACTAATGTGTGGTTATGTAAAATTTGAATTTCCTTCCCCCAATCTGATCCAAAAGTGAGACACCCTCTTCACAATTGGGCTCAAATTGGATTTTAATAAATTAAACTCTAGATATAGAAAATTAATATATTATCTTGATCCAATACAATTTAAATTGTAAAGTGATTCTTTTGAGCAATTCCTAACCAATAAAATTGGTATAATTCATCCAAATATTTCCTCTTTTCATATACTAATTTTCTTAAACTTTTCCTAAATATTGGGTAATTTTATGTAATTACACTTTAAGACCCAAACTTTTAAAAGTTACCTTTTGACCTTGGTTTATCTTGACATTTTCAGGTCAATATTCAATCTTATTCATTTTTAACTTTATGTAGTTTTTCATAATCTTATCATATTATGTACATATAATTAGCCTTGAACATTGATAATTACTATTTGACTTTGGATAAGTTATTACTCTTACTTATTTTTTTTTTCTCTTAGCCTTAATAGTAGTTAAGATATTTAAGAAAAAGTTAAAAATACTTTCTTTGTAATAATTAACTAAATTTTAAAAGGTTTTTATATTTTAAACTCATCCTAAGCCATCGTCTTCTTGGAGAACTGTCATATATTTTGTGACTCAATAACTTTCTACTAAGTTTGCTATGACCATGAGATCTAATTGTGATCTCAAGATCTAACTATGATCTCATTGAGTCCTTTTTGAATCTAGTATGATTCTTAGGATCTAACTGCGATCTTTCTATATAAGACTTAGACATAAAGATAAAATTATCAAATAACTATATCTATGTTTAATCCGACAGTTTTAATGATTATTTTTCAAGAATAATCTTAGATACCTCTGTTATCCTTTTAGGCCTCATTTATTCCTTCTTCTTTTTCTATCCTAGCCACTTCTGGAATTTAATTTGCTCTTTTGTCAATTTTGGACACTTCTTTGAGGTCTCTAAAATATTACACTTTTGCCCAAAAAACTTTAAAATTATAACTTAGTCCCTAAGAATTATTCTATCCTTTCATAGCACTTTAGGGACTCTTCATTACTTGAGCTTAGTAGCTTCTTAAATTCTTGCATATT